GGAAACCTCATAAACTACACGGTGTTAAAAAAAAAACTGTGCCAGTTCATTATTATAGGAATATTAACAAATTTCATCCGATCGGACCAATATTTCACTAACTGCACGTGGATGGATAAAATAAGGTTTTTGTAAATTTGAACGATATTGATCCAAAGTATCACGTGCTATACCATATAAAACATGAAGGTTAAGAAAATGCACCGGAAATTCTTGCTGATTAGACAAACGCATTAGCGAGCTTGAACGGCACACTTTTTCACGTATCAAGTTTGAACTGACAGAACGTGATACAATGCGTCAATTTTCTTTAAATTTGGCACATACCTTCTTTCCTCCATGGATAGTACAAGTTACTGTTATTAATCGCGAAAATGATTTCGCATAGTTTTTTTTTTTAACACCGTGTAGATACGGCAAGACATCCCCGTCAGTCCATACGATCCCCCACACGGTTGGCACGGAACACAGGAGGAAACGGACCTCCTAATGTTACAAGCAGGAAGGAGAAGGAATCCTCTTATTCTCTCCTGGCACCAAGGCCACACCCGCTGCCACCCGGAACGGGATTACATCTCGCCCGACCTCAGGACTGAAGTCACGCATACAAATGGCTTCACGAGGAAGGGCATCTCCATCGTACCATGCACTACAGTACTTCGCTAGTCGGCTTCCCGGTCCCAGATGTTTCATCTAACGAAGAGACAAGCCCTAATTTGCATCCCTTACTTTAATATTCTCCATAATGATCACCGACAGGCATTTCATAGGCATGTACACAACACACCTGCAGCCGACAAGTTTCGGTCTAGCGCCCAGTCAAACCCGTAAAGTCTGCTACGAGAAAAGAACATGAAAAACAAGTCTGGTCTATCGACGGCCGAGAAGATTCAATATATTTTAGATTCCCCCATCTTCAGGATGACAAGGGGTATCCTGAAATTGCCAATTCAGGTCTCGTGAACACATGCGTCCCATGACTTTGTCAGAAAGAATTCCCAATAAATGTAATATTCTCGCAAACTATGAGATACAGCTAATGGGTTCGTGTTATTATTAATTGGACGGGTATTAAAGTAAGACAAGCAACGCCAATTTTCACACGAAATAAAACACATACCAGCAACTATAGCCCAAGGATAACTCAATTTAGCTCAACATGGGATGATCCCGACTAGAAACATTCACTCAAGTTCCTGTAGAACTGTATCAGGTACTTTCAGCATTTTCGACATATTTTTTTCCCTTACAGTATAAATTATTACCGCAGAATATCAATGACTGCATCACCTTTAAAAAGAAGGAAAGAAGCTTGCAGTCAAGTAAGAAGTGACAATAAATATAAATTAAATTAAATAAGTATAATAGCACGTTCTTAGAACAAACGAAAGAACAGCTTTTGACAATGTATACCAATCAATGAATAATAAGTAAATTAATGGCATTTTCATAATAGCAAAATATGTTTGCGCCTGTAACAAATGAAGTGAGGAAATGAAGAAAGTATTTCTGGATTTGTGCGACAAGTGCGACTCATTAAATCACAGTACCATATTTGAAATTGACATGTTACAGGACTAGATCCAGATAAACTCGTTGACTCGGTAATGAAATTCAATGGATATAAATCAATAATTCAATTAAAGCACTTTCCAAATTGACCCATTTCCTATTCAAGTCATAGAGTACAATAGGCCAACAGCTTTCGACAGCGAGTTCTTGATTGCTACAGTGGTGAAATCAATATTAAGAGGAGGTCCCTCCGATATATGCTTCGGCTTCGGCTTCAGCCACAGCAAACTCCTACTCTCCAAGACTGGTCATAGGAAAATGTGCACAGTACCACGGAATTCAAACTTCAATTCAGAAATAATTACTGAACTTCTGTGTGTTTGCATCAAGATAATCTGGCTATGTTTTAAAAGGCCAATTGTAACATCTTCCTGTTTCATTTGGAGCAACGAAAACATGGGCTTTTTCATTGATGTCTAAATTACCCTATTGTCTCTACTCAAACAATGTGACCAGTACTTCTGGGTGGTACCAGTCCAAGGTCTTCGAGGCATCGCGACCTATTTTCAATATCTCCAGCTCTTCTTTTCTAAGAAGTCAAAGTAATAAAAAAAAAGGAAAGGCAGTTCCAAGGAATTATGACTTCGAGGTCAGAATATGCTGCATCATGCTGATTCCTCTAATAAATACACAAGGGGACCTTTTTATGAACATGGCACAACCGAAAGGTAGTCCTTGAAGAATCTTTCCTTGAAACAAAAACTGCAGCATAGGACACGAGGACTACAGTAGAGGTCATCATATCCCTTCGGAAACCTTTCGAGACGCACCTCAACGTGAGTCATGGAATATCGAATCCTAGAAGTGATGCAATCGAAAGGAAAACTGGATATTTTCGAAACACCAACCTGGATATTGACTGAGGCCCTGGACATTGCTGTTGATCAGACCTGAAACAGAAGAGACTCGCTATTAAAGCAGAGGGTCAAAGTAAACCAATGGGAAGATTTAAAAAAAAAGTAAAGCTTTTTTTTTTCAAGCTGCTATAATAAAAAAAAACACTCATTTAGGCCCACCACATGACCTTGCCCTCTTCCATCACGTCAGCCACAAGGCTGACATGCCCTTCCTGCTTGGTGTTTGCCATCCCCACACCACAACCCTTCATTACACCACGTGGCTACAATGAAAAAAGGGAGGGGCAACCTCCTCCTCCGCGAGGGGGAAAGCCGGAGAGCTGATACTCGTTTAAAAAGCAGAAGTTCAATTTCACGCTCTGCTGCTGGATTCCTCAACCATATGTTGAGCAAGTATCCCTTCACGAGACAGGAGAGATTTCAAATCTCTGCATATAATGTATCACTGAGATCGTGAAATGAAATGCAACAAATATATCTGAATAATAAAAGAGAAGTGCAGTTATTTGCATATGCTTTCTAAAGCAATCGACCTATCTCCCAAGAGTCTTCCGCGTCAAGATCATTTGTCAATCCACGAACGTGATTCGTTCTTTGACTTTTCGCATGAGCTTTTTTGCCTGCGCTGTGCCTCACGCTACCTCTCAAGTCGAACATGGGAATATACTTCCACTTCCCTATCCCCTCCGAAGCTGTGGATCTTAGTTATGGATCACGAACGGCATCTACGTGAGCGTGTTACTCGGGGGAACGACTCCCCACCTTCCGTTAACCTCGGCTGTTCCGTCCAGACCTGACGAGCGACCGAAATTAAACTTCTCCATCCGACGTAACGGCTCGTTAGTGCGCCGGAGATGGTCAGACGCCTCATTGAAGTGTCATATCAAATATCAAATAAATTCTTTCTTCCTCATCTATGGGCGGTTCTAGACAGCCACTGCGAAAGAGAAGCCACCGGGAAACGCCGACTCCAGGAGCCATTGAGAAAACTCGGGAACCATGACCTGCAGGTTGAACGACCGGGGAACAGCGTACATGCTCACGATTCCAGTAGATTCATCCGAAAAAAAAACTAAAATAGCGCTCTGGAACCCAGACCGGATTTCATGAAGGGCTTTCCTGTTTAGCTCAGCGGAAGGACCAAGGCCTTGCGAAGGCGTCGACGATAAAGGAAACAAAAAGTGAGAAATGGGGTGCGGCCCTAGGCTGGAACATTTCATCTCTCCACATGACCAGTGGAGTACATCATCTCGCACATCCTTGTTGCAACAAGCGCCCATCATGCGTAAGGTGAGTTGCTTTTCTGCGGAGTGCGTATTTTTAGACCTCGTCTAAAAATACGTTTTTGGCAGGATTGCCTGTGCGGAACGGCACAGATATACATTTTTGCAGTCGAGATTGTCTTCATGTGTGCAGGCTTTAAAAATGGCGATCCCCCCCACGACAAGGTTGCCACGGTCGTTCTCTTCGAAATGCTTCTCACTCTCGTGGATGGAGGAGCAGAGAAATGGGGATGGAACAAGAAAAGGGAGAAAGGAACAGAACGGAAGTCCAGATGAGAGAAGAGGCGAGGGGGGGGGACGGCAAGACGAGCATTGTTTCAACCTTGACTACTGTGACGAGCATTGGCCAGGGGAGGGAAAGGAGAGTTCGTGGTCCCGGACTCCGGTCCCTGACTCCTCAGTCCTAATCCCTTATGGCAATGGCAAACGAGGAGGCTGACCCCGGGCACAATCCTCCGTCTTCCCTCTCTCGTTCTCTCTCTCTCTCTTCCCTCTCTCCGTCCCACGTCAGGTCCACTCAACCGGACGCAGGTAATGGATCACCTTTTTGCTTCTTGGGAGTCTGGGTGACAAAAGACCGTCGTACCGGGATGCGTCCATTTCCACCGTCCACGCGAGGGGCGAGTCAATGTCAACACTACACGATGGTTTCCCCAAGTACTTCATCGGGCCGACTAATGGGATGGCGCTCGTAAATCTCGATTATCCTCGCGCGCTTCGCTCACTTTCAGAATCCAATTCAAAATAATGCCCAGAGGCACATTCTCTCGTTCCAATCTCTACCCGTTTCGGCTCGTTTGTTTTATTTCACACTTCTCGAATTCGACCCAAGTCCCTAGCGGTTATCGTCGACACGATCGAAACCAGCTCCGATCGACGTCAGCCTTCAACCCTCCAGCGTCTGAGTTTTGAAAAATCAGACTTTCATGGAGACCAAACCGGAATGACGGCCTGGAAGGACATCCAAATGTCAACGGAGGATGCGAGAAGCCACAGCCAAGGAGGTAAGAACAGAACGGGGGCCCGTCATTCTACCCCTCGGAGTCAACCGAGGTCGATTCGCCGCATTCCCCGCGGAACAATGCAGACTGTTGTGGGGAAGTACGCGGATACGTTTCCCTCTGCCTAAATTCTACCATATACGCATACGTACACGCAACTCGGATCCTCCTACGTGACTCTGCCCATGTAGGATGATTGGATTCCTATACCGTGCTGGAGCTAATACAGCGCGCTTCATGGGGGCCGAATATGGCAGCGGCATGTGAAAAGCAGGGAATCAAGTTACCTTTGATCTGATCCAGTTGGTCATTGCGGGACATTTCCTGAAGGCAGTGGTCGATGGAGCGCATATTGTCCAATCCGCCCCCTACACTCCTCTCCTACGCACACAAGCAAAGCCATCATGAGCGAAAATTACAATCAATACCCAATCCTATAAGTGGACCTTCCTGTCATCAAATTACATCTGAATACATACTTCCCCAGAGCTTAATCCAAGCCATTAACCTATTTTTACCTGCTGGAACAACTCCTGCCATATTATTTTGTCGAGTATTCTTTTTCGCCAATCCCTACAAGGGTTGGATAATATGGGTTTCGTTTTGGCAGAAAATCTCCCCGGATGAATATGCCATAGATCCCCACGAATAAGGGATTCTCCCAGGGATGCGAAAGGCCATGGGGTGATTATAACTAGCTGGGAGTCACCAGATATGGTGATCAGCTGAGAGCGAACCGGCACTACGATGATGAAAAGAGGACAATCGATAACGCTCTCTCACGCTCCTTCACATCCGCAGGCCGGCGAGATGAGGGCGAAGGCCTGTGAAAGACGGAGCTGGCCCATTGATCTCAGGGGGGGGGGGGGGCTTCTAGCTGGCTTCCACACAAAGTTGTCCCATATCTGGCCACTCTGCGTCCCTCACCCGGCCGCAATAACCCCCGCAACGCAGTAATCCACCCAACATAGTACCGCACAACGTCAGCTAAGATAAGAACCTGCAGCGGTGCACAGACGACGGCAGTTCTTCGACAGAAGAATTCGCAAGAACACATTGTATTAGACATTACGCCGTTGTGCTAAACAAAGTTTCTCGGCCAATAGGCAGATAATCTGAGATTATTTGCAAGGCAAATTTGATCATCTCGAGGGCGATTACTTCTTGATTGCTTGCATTGTAATATGGCTCATCAGCTCTAATTCGTTCCTCCTCTCCGACGACGTGTCTTCATTACCATGATCAAATAACAACCGGAAAACATGATCAAACTGCGGCAAGCAGCATCCTCGCGCTGCATAAATAATTCCCACCGAAGAGTAAGAAGACGCAACTTAAGCCTTCGGGTTCAAAAACAGAACCAGGAAGCATCGCTCGGGAAAGACGCAAAAAGTATGATGGTGACGCAAGCAGCACCATCCCGAGCCAAACGAGGGGGGCATGGTGACAGGTGCCGCCAAGCACTCTATGGCCCTTATTGAACATCATATCAGAGGAGAAACAGCCTACAACGTGGAATTCTCGGTCATCTCCGGGTGTTTTTTTCCTACAGTCATGAGTTATTCCTATGAAACGATGAATTGCAAAATGGACGCAGAATAGCACAGTATCATCATGAAACTACTTTGCCAACGCAGTTTTCCCAAATATTTTTTCAACCTACATGAACCATAATAGTGCATCTGTACTCACTACTTACAGCAGTACCTGCAACTTCATTAATGATTAACCAAATGTACATCGTTGTCGATCTGGTAAAAGACTTGATCTCTGCAACCACTCTTCCTAGAATTGTATGGCTATGTCTTCAAGAGTAAATAAATATGTCCAATGTATTACATGCTCACTGAATGTAAGACCTGAGAAGAATGCACCTAAGCAATCAATCTTCTTTTCCTAGTTTAAGGGGGGTGCCTGCCAAGTGGCATACTCCACAAGGTAGGCACATGATTGAGGACATAGCATGATCTACTGCCACCCTGAGACAATGCCTACTCAAAGAGGACAATATTTCACCTGAATATCTCCAAAGCAAACCCAGATACACTAAGGAAGTCCAGAAATTCTGTCATTCAAAAAGAAATGGGATTGGTATACATTTTACAAAATGAGAGGTGTTGCCAAGAACAGCTTGGCTTCTGCTTCTATCCATGTTATATCCTGACTACATCTATTTCTCTCATTTTCCTGGCATTTATAGCCATCCCCATCCAGACTTGAAAGTCTGATGTACTAATTCAAAAATAATCTAAACTTTAATTAAGAGAAAAGCACTGTTAGAAATGAACTGAATTCCTATTTCATGGTTTGCAATATAAGGTAAGGAGTCCATTTGTGATCTGAGGGCAGCCCTACCCACCTATCTGAAAGACAGTCCAGCTGAGATGCTACAAGTAAGGTTCAAAAGTGAAATACATAATAATCCTCATTCAAAACATTTGCACCATCCACCAGATTTCCAGGGACTTTAAGGTAACAGTACCAAATTGTATTTTAGTCCTCAATGTGACTATGATGGAGGTTATTGGACCTTTGCATTGAGGAAGGTCATTCATGGGTAAGTTCATTGGTTTGCAACTTGTATTTTATACCTACGAAATGCAAGTAGAAAACCAGGTAAAATGGATGATTCTCACTGAATGAGGCATAAGCCTCTGAGTGACCTCACACTCCAAGGAATCTCCAATCTCTGCCCATTTTGTCTGGCAGCTCTCATCAATATCTCATTTTTAAGCCCATATCTTGAAAGTCTGCTTAGACAAGGCATCAAGCAGTGAAATAACTGTTCCAGCCAGCATAAACCTCACCAAGGCTAAGAAACTGAAAAAATATGCAATTACTAACCTGTAAGCCGCTGAGGAGGGCTTCTCGGCTGGCATCATCCAAGGAGGAGACATCAAATGGATGATTGAAGGGATTTTTCCCTGGGTACGAAGTGCTTCGTCGGAATTTGCTGCCAAAGGAATAGCCTCCTGCCATTCCTCCTAATCCTGGTCCATTCATGGGGCCATTGCTCTTGCGAGACCCATAGGCATTTCCACTGATGGGAGAAGGTGGATTTAGGTTTGGGACACTCCGACCTCTCTGCCAATTGTTGACGCTCAGATGATTCTGTGGGTTGCCAGACCACCCAGATTGCTGCACGGTTGACCAACTGGGATAGGACTTGTTTGTAGAGAATATATTATTAGGGCTATGTTGCTGAGGAGCCATTCCAAGTTGCATCCGGGATGTTGGGTGAGAGAAATTGTGAGCACCCGTGATTGCTCTTCGTGGAGCTTGGGCAGCTCCCTGTTGCATTCCAGAAAATTGACCCATGCCAAGCATATTTCCAAAGATAGGACTGGCCGTGGATTGGCTTGGTGATAGGCTCTGGAAACCGGGTAAAGTCCCGTTCATCGGTGGCAACGGATGGAGGAACGATCCATCGTCGAGGGAATTTCCAGACCAGACGTTGGGACTCTGAATGATGGAATTGTTGAGCGAAGACCCAACATCGGAGAATCCCATTTGCATGGTGGATGCCAGGCTACTGATGATGCTGGGAGAGAGACTGGGATTAGAGATGGGGATGTGGCTACTGGGGATCGAGATTGAAGGAGCTCCTGCTAAGGACACGGGGTCAGTTGTAGTCATGGGGAGATGGGCACCATTGTGGTTCAGCTGTCCCAACTTCTTCTCTTGGTGTGCAAGGTTCACACCGTTGACCATCCCAAGGGTGATATCTCCAGGTGGGGTGTACCTGCTCCCAACCTGGCACGATCCAGCCGAATCATCGTCTTCACATTCCTTACTGTTCATGGAACTGGGGATAGGTCCCTGGAAACTCTGTTGCTTGGGCTGTGGCGTGGCACCATTGGTGGCACTCATACCGACTATTTCCCCTTCGATCGTATTCGTCTTCCCGTGAGGGCTGGGAATTACCTGTGAGGAGTCAGATGCGGTCGATGAAGCAAGTGTAGAAGTAACTTTAACGTTATTCTCTTGCACCAGCGTTACATCGTGATCTTGACCGGGACTCGTTCTAACGTTAGGTCTAGTGTTAGAACTCGGCATCACGTTTTGCTGCTGTGCAGGAGGAAGCCCCACAGTCGGCTGCGGCTGCGTGCTGGTCGTACTCCCCGTGCATTGACGAGCGATGTCAGCGCCCAAGCAGCTAGCTCCCGAATCGACTTTGGCAATCAATGAGTTGCCGAAACTAGCAAAGTCCGACAGGGGATCGGGGAACGATATATCACTCCTATCGGCCTCCAATTGGAAATCGCCCATCACAATCATCACACAGAGTGCCCGATGCTGCGAAGCACGAAAACGAGGAGTATGGGATGGCCTTCTGCGATGCCGCAGCAGCCAGCCTTATCACATGAACTAGTCGCAGGCATACGCGTCAGCTGAGGATCGACCCCCTTGACATTCGCTCGCAAGAGACGCCTTTGAACTCCTCGTGCCGATCCTTAGTTTCTACGCTATTCTATAGATGTCGCCACTCGGCAGGCGTTGCATACGCGGCTCTGTTACCATGGCGCTGGCCTGTGATCAGAAAATTCAGTGTTGAATCAGTGCCTCTCGAATTTACTTGATCAAGTACTTTTCAATCAACGCTCAATTGCTCAAATGAAGGCTCTAGCACAGGAACTCCACGTCAGTAACTAGGCAGTCGCACGAGTTATTTTTATTACGATGTCCTTGATGACATTCTATAAAGGCAGACAATAGCTGGGTCGGTCACGAGTCTAGTACTGGAATGGCTACAGGGTATTCGAACAGGATTCCCTCATCTGGCTTTTCCACCTTCCAAGTCCCACATCAGAGAAGATCCGCTTCGAGTCGAGGCAGGGTTACCGAGTATCGTTCAACCGATCCCAAGAGTCCCATAGAAACTCATCTAACGTCTAATGAAGCACGTATCGGGACAAGAAGGAAATGCGATCTTCAAAAAGACCGGAGCAAATGAGAATTGATGCACACGTCGAGGGATTTAGGCTCCCCTCATGGACAGAACGCTCGAATATCAAGATTGATGCTGACATCTTTCTGACAAAGCGCGGGAACACGAACTCCTCCTCCTCCTCCTCCCTCCCTCCCTCCCTACCTCTCCACCTCCTCCTCCCTCCCTCCCTCCCTACCTCTCCACCTCCTCCTCCCACCCTCTCCACCTTCCCTTCTCCTTTCCGCCTGGCCTGTTATTAACTCCTTCAAGCGCTGCGCAAATCTGTTGGAATCGGCCCGTCCCGTGTCTGTTCCAGCTGATTTCCAGGAGGCTGCCCCCACGGAGAGGAAAAGGGCAAGTGAGGCCGAGGTGAGATCGATTCGGTCTTCCCCTTTCGGCGCTCACTAGCAGAGACGACTTTCTACCTTGCCTGCTTGAGATTGCTCCTCGCAAAACTGTGCAAAATCGTAATGGTAGGGGGGAAAAAATTAGGAGTAAGGGACTGAAGTCTCTTACACATTCATAAAAAGTCTTAAGGGACTCATAACTGTACGTAATATATTTTTTTTAATTCAAAGCCATAAGATGACTCTAAACGCGTCTTCGCTCATGCCAGGTGACACAGGTACCAGTTAAGTGTTGAGTTAAATTGGGTTAAGTTAAGGGATGTGAGTCGTCAGAGACCCACGATGGTGCAAGCGATTGGAAACGCCACCAAAAACGGCTGGGGAAACTCCACGGGACGCGCCCTTCCTTACCCGACTCTCGTGCATAAAAACGCTTAACGACGACGACCGCGGAAGCCGGCCGCGGCTCCCGTCGCGTGACGCGGCGTTCGGTGAGCCTCTGGGCTTTTCCACCTGTTTCCGTTGGTCGAGAGGGCGCTATCTCTTCTCGGATTCGTCGATCGACCGTTGGTTCGTGCGGTGGCTGCGGCAATTGAAAGGCTGAAAGGCATGGTGCAAAAAAAAATTATGCAAAAAATTCACGCGAGGGAAAGCAGCATGCAAAGGTGGACCAGTTTTTTTTTTTTCCCCACATAATTGCTAAAAACTACCATTCTTGAGGAAAGGACAAAAGGAAAGGACAAAAAAGGTTCCATGAACACTACACCAGCCAGACTTTTCGGCCAATTTTTGCAGATGGACCACTTTTCTTTCAACCCTTCGATCCTTCGTCAGCGTTTGTTGGGCACATCCCAAAAAAAGTTTTTTTTTGCGTTTCCCCGACCGTTACTGCAAGGTTTCTCACGGCATTTTTGCGCCGGCCACCTGCCGATTCCACCGGCCTCGGATGGGGATTCCCCACTTTAAAGGCTCGCAAAAACGCTGCAAAAAGCCGAGAACCTAATCGCGATGGATCAGAAAGAAGCCCTCATTTCTTTTCTTTTTTATATACAAGCTGGGTTGCCCGGCGTTGCCCGGGATATTTTATAGGAGTAATATAGCTGTTGTTCTTTCATGTGCTTTTTTGTTAGTGCCTATTAGTCTAAGTCCGGCCAGACCGACGGGGACGGGAGCACTGCTCTGGCCATTTTATTTTTATTATTATTTTTTTCTTATTTTTTTAAAAGTTGTTCTAAATTAATTAACTCAAAGGGGCTCTTCTTTCACAAAAATCTAACTTAAATGAGTTTCTCAATGATATTCTTATTTCACAGGAAAAACTAAANAGCGTCAGATGGACAGAGACAGAGATCCTTGCTTATAGCTATAGATATTGGTCGCTCGGATACCCTTTTGTTCTTTATTATTCTGTTATTTTCGTCGGTCGCTTGGATACCGGGAGGGAATCCATCCATTCGCAGGCGGCCACGATCGCGTCGATACAAGCTGTATTCCGATCGAAGCCCAGTCGAAGGCTCTCCCTTCGCGGGGGGGGGAAGGGGGGGGGGGGGAAGAAAAAAAGAAAAAAAAAATTCCTTTTGTTTCCGAAAATATGGATTCGTCACCGGCACGTGACGGAGCACAATCGCCTTCGTCTGGAATTTATTTTTTTTTTCCGCGTGTACGAGTCCCATGAATTCATCGTCCGAGTTGGGATCGCAGACTGCAAAACCGGCGGAAACGCGCTGAATCGCATCCAGGGTTGCCAGATGTCCGGGTTTCGGACAGACAGACCGGATTCGATGCCATACGTCCGGGGCCCATTCATGGCCCGGACAATGGGCACATCCGGAAAACAACGCAAACACAATATATACCAAATAGGTTTGAATAGCAGACGGCCTTGGATATAAGAGGACTCCACGAAATGTTTTCAAATTTGCTTCCGTCGATTTCACGGCAGCGGCCTCGAACGGGTGATTCACGAGCCAGACCGATTTATTTTTATCCGGTGGGAACACTGCGGAGGCGAATCTATTCACGAGGGAAAAACCTTCGTTTCGTATTCAGATCGATATTCCTGAGATAAGAACACGACGCAGCGTCCGGATCTGACCTTATCGAAATCCGGCAACCCTGGTCGCTTCCGAACCGGCTGATTGCGAAACCGCGGGAAATGAACCACAGGATCCCGCCCCACCGTGCGATCGCGCCGCCATCTGTCGTCCAGCTTGGGCCCTAGATTTAAGGGCCATTCCCTCCTCCGGGCTGGAGGTGTCGACCGGCTCCATCGATTTTTCTCGGCTAGAAGGGAAGAATGACGTGCGAGCGGAGTGTCGGAGGATTTCGAGACGACCTGGGGCCGGTTGAGATCGTTATGCTCTAACGTGAACGCAGTGGCTTCGTCCGTCGGCGCTCGAACCCGTCTGAGATACTAAGGATTACCGTTACTTGGCATTCTTTTTAGATGGGTGGGGGGGGGCTGTTGACTTCGACTGAGGGACTATTGGGCTTCCAAACCGCACGAGGCTATTTGGAAGCCCAATAGTTCGGTGGTATACAAATGAAAAGGGCCTGTTCCCATTGATACAGACACACTTTGTGTGGCTGTTGGGACATAAGAAAGCCATGTATATTATCAGTAAGGTATTCTCCAGTTCCACTTGGCTAATGCCTAGTCATAGATGCGTTATGCATTTTCGTTTCATATGGACTTTTCGTCCATTCCTTTCGCGAGGCGTTCATTCCACAATGTGCTGTTGTAACCAAGAACAGCTTCTTTGCAAGTTCGATTTGCATTCCACCTTCTCTTTTTCGAGTCGAGTTTTTATGCTGCCGCATCCCCAAAGGGCGGAATGAAGGTCAGTTGGATAATAAAAAAGGGCCATTCATCCCCCTTTTTTCTTGGACGTGGGTGGTATTCGCAAAGCCACGGCATTAATTGGGTATTAAAATGCCCAGTACGGCAATAATAGACAAAACTTTAACGATCGTTGCTCTCACAAACGGACATTGGCAGAAGCTCTCGGCGTCAAATGATGGGTTTAACGATGTATCCAGCTTAAAAGTTGCCAGCTCGACATGGTGGCAGGTGAAATAAAATGTTCGATTCGCGATGTCGTCGATCCAGGTGGATCGGAGGATCCATCGAGGCAAAGCAAATTCATTCCAGCCGTTTCTCGGGTGAAATATTCAGGAATTTGCGAGACCGCCGTTCGCTGACCCTAAAAATACGCGTATATCCACGGCGCTTGAAATTCGAGAACTTATCGCCTCTCTCCCCGTCGATCACGGTTCGGTTCCACGGGTTAAAACAGATTACACGAAGATTACACGATAAAACAGATTACACGCATTCCGGCTTCGCGCGGTCTTGAAGGCGTGTTCGTATATGCTGCATGGTGTACTGGAAAATCATATCCGACCTTTGCAGCCGCTGGACTGCAATTCTGAAGAGCATGAAAAAAAAATTTGATGTCCAGCAGCTGAATGCAGCATGCCGTCCGGCAAACGATGTGCCGTTCAAGCGCACTGGATTGAATAGAAATTTTTTTGAGATGGTAGTAAGTGCAATACAGATGCTGCACTGCATTCGCTGGAAGCAGCCTGGAGTTTTGCTGCCCGTTTTTCAGACTGCTGCTGTGTACTGGACCCAGCGTCCGGCAGGGATATGAAATAGAACTATATTAACTAAAAAAAAACAAAAAAACCTTTCACTCAGATCGAACGTCTCAAGACGCAGCTCGAGATGCGAAGCTTCGATTTCCCCTCTCTCCCTCCGAGCGGTCCCAGCGCCCGGAAGAGGAGGGAAACGAGAGAGGAAAAAATGTAGACAGATTGCCATCGGGATCGGCCTTTCACAGATGCGACCGATACCGAGTGGCTATCGGCCGACGGAGATCCTAATATCCCGGATACTTTGGCATGGACGCAATTTCCTCGCTTGGCCTGGAGCATCTGGGACTGCATTCCGCCGTCTCCACATCGCGATGCAATCGATCGCAGGAAAAGAATATCAAAGGTTAAAACTACACCGGATTACCGCGATACACGTGTCTCAGGCAATCATTTCAAGGACTTTCGGACCGAGGAACAAACACCCCCGAGGCATTACAATTAGGATACGGAAAAGGCATGATTTCCTG